TTTTTTTTGCCTCTTACAGACTCACTTCCCTTCCTTGAGTATACTTTAACATTCTCCACTTCTTTCAGCCTTAAGCCTAAAGACCTGCCGCTTCTGTAAGCTTGTTCTCTATTATTGATTCCTTATTCTCCTCCTATTACCCTTCCTTTATCTTTAGTTCTTCAAAACATTCATGGATCAGATTCCAAATCTATTCCCCCTGTTCATTTTCTCCATTTTTGCCCATTTCTCCCTCATCCCTTACTCCTTCCTCCTCCCTCTAATCTTCCTTACAAGATTCAGGCAATAGATGGAGCTGATAGCATCTGGCAGAGACACGAAAGGAATGTTAGTAGCCTTAAATTGAGTACAATGCATAACTGGAGCTATAGCTTTAGGAGATGGACTCGGTGTAGGAGAGCCTGGACTGGAATTCTGCCTAAAGTTCCCAGATCCCAAAGGACTGGAGAGACGTAAAATGGTTGAGTACAAAGATCCATCAAGACACTAATTCTTGGGTTTTGAGGCTACTGATGTATCTTTACTTTCACTAAGAGAGGCGTTACTTTCATTCATTTTGCTACCTTGTGATTGTTGGCCCTTAGGAGAGGAGCTTGGAGTAATCAGGTGAAAGTTTTGAGCCTAATAGTCATATTCTTCCCTTTCTTCCCTTACATAGTCTCAACTGTAGATTGAAAAATGAAGTCACCATGTCCTTCCACTTCTTCATCCCCCAAAAGCAATAACTTTGTTCCTAAACCCTACTCTTCTTGGAGACAAGGGTGAGCTTGATCATCAAAGCTACTGATACTCAACATCTCAAAAGACTTAGCATCATTGTCATCGTCGACATCATCTTCAGACGACTAAAATCCTCCTCAGAATCTATTTTTGGCTTCTAAGGTTGTGTTGCCCTAGAGAGGCCTCCTTTCTGTCATTGGACCCCAACACAATCTACTGTCACTGGGCTGTCATTGGTCCTCGTTCGAACCGGGTTGAGAGAATCTCTCAGATTGAGTGGAATGGACAACTTCTAACCAGGGAAATAGATATAGCACAAGCCTTTGTGGAGCATTTCAAAGCCATTTTTGTTGGGCTGGGCAGAATTAGAGATAGTTTAGATAATCTTGAGTGGGGGATAGGGCCTAGGGACTTGATGGAGGCTTTGGAAAAAAAATTGAAGTCCGCAATTTTCTCTATGGAGAGATCTAAAGCTCCAAGCCCAGATGGCTTCACGATGGCTTTCTATCAAGACTATTGGGAGATAGTAGGTGTTGAGCTTGTGGAAGTCTTTGAAGAATTTTTTGAAAGGGGCAAGTTCAATTCAGGGGCAAATGCAACTCTTATAGCATTGACCCCTAAGAAAGCATATGCAATCCATCCAAAGAATTTTAGACCCATAAGCCTTATGGGAAGTATGTATAAAATCATCTCTAAGGTTTTGGCTGAGAGGATCAAAAGAGTCCTTCCTTTTTGATCTCTCCAAACCAATGGACTTTTGCTTTTGGGAGACAAATAATTGATTAGATTCTCATTGTTAATGAGTGTGTAGATTTTAAGAAGAGGAGAAAGGAAAAATGCTTGGTTTGCAAACTGGATTTGGAAAAGGCCTATTGACTTGGTGGACTGGGACTCTTTGCTATAGATTTTAAGGTTGAGAGGTTTTGGAGCTAATTGGTGTAAGTGGATAAAGTGTTGTTTTTCCTCCTGTCATTATTCCATACTAGTCAATGGAGTAGCTAGAGACTTTTTTCCAGCGAGAAGGGGCCTTCGTCAAGGAGATCCTCTCTCCCCTTTCCTCTTTACTCTAGTTGCAGATGTATTGAGTGTTTTGATCTCAAGGGCTGATATTACAAATCAGTTAAAAGGTTGGAGAATTGGAAGGGAAGAGCTGGTGGTGACACATTTACAATTTGCAGATGATATTGTCATATTTTGTGAAGGGGAAAGGGAAGAACTGGTTCAACTGCAATGGCTAGTAACCCACTTTGGAAGGGTTTCTAACCTTAAGGTGAATTGGGGCAAGAGTTGTGTAGTGGGATAAACAGAGAGAAAGAGGAAGTAGAAAACCTTGCTAGGGTTCTGGAGTGTGAGGCAGGGGAATGGCCGATATTGTACTTGGGACTACCTTTGGGTGGGAACCCAAATTCTGATAGCTTCTGGTATCCAGTAGTGGAAAGATTCACAAAAAGGCTGGTAGGATGGAAAAGAAATTACATCTCTTTAGGGGGAAGAATAACACTAATAAAGTCAACTTTGACTAATCTGCCAATCTACTATTTATCTACCTTTAGGATCCCCACCAAAGTGGCCAACCAACTGGAAAAAATTAATGAGGGACTTCTTCTGGGAGCCAGGGGACACAAAAAAATATCACCTAGTGAAGTGGGAGATAGTGTCCAGAAGTAGGGATAGTGGGGGTCTAGGGATAGAGAATATTAAACTAAGGAATGTTGCACTGCTGGGAAAATGGTTGTGGAGATTGCCCCTAGAACAAGACAATCTATGGAAAAAGGTGATTGTGAGTATTCATGGTATGGCAGACATTGGGTGGGATGCTGGTCTTGACCGTAGGGCATCTTGGTATTCTCCTTGGAAAGTGATCCATGGTTTATTGCCTTCCTTTCTTCCATATATCAGGTATGATGCTTGTGAAGGTAGTAAAGTGCGGTTTTGGGAAGATGTTTGATTTGGGGAATCCTCTCTTAAAGATATATTTCCATCTATTTATTCCCTTTCCCTTAACAAAGAGTCAATCATTTCCAATGTTCTTGGTACTGAAAATTCTTAGGACTTGGGACTATGGAGAGGGTTAAGGAAGTCTGAAATGGGATTAGTAGATGAACTCATTTCCCTTCTCAGCTTAGTATTCTTGGATCTTTCTTGTTCAGACAGCAGAATTTGGTCGGTGTCATCCTCTGGATACTTTACATGTGCTTCTTTCTTCAATGCCCTTTTTCAGTCTACTAACGCTGAAGAATTTTTTCCCACAAAGGAAGTATGGTGTAACCTTGTTCCATCGAAAATTAGGGCTTTTTGTTGGGAGGTAGTACTCCCGAAAATTAACACTTTGGATAAACTACAAAAAAGAAGACCAAATTGCTGCCTTTCCTCTCATGTTTGTTGTCTTTGTTTGGGCTGTGGTGAGTCAATTACACATCTATTATTGTTTTGTCCTTTTGCTTCTTTTGTTTGGAATTGGTTTTCCTCTTTGTTTGGCTGCAGGTGGACCCCGCCTTTTGATGCAGCAAGTCTCTTTGAACCAAACTTCTTTAGACTACCTAAGAAAAGAGGTAGGATGATGTGGAGAGCTACGAGAGCTGCTATCCTTTGGTCATTAAGGGAGGAGAGAAATAACAGAATTTTCCAAGGAAAAGAAAGGTCCAAGGAACAAGTAATTTATAACATAACTCACAAAAGTCTACATTGGCTGAAATCAACCGACTTATTTAGAGGCTGCTATTCAATGATTATTTGGTGGAGGACATATTTAGAGGCTGGTCGACAGTGGCAAACCTTTCTACTACTATGGATGTGGTTTAGCCCCAATGGATACCAGCAGCACACCAAAGGGTAAAGTTGAATTTTGATGGAAGTTCTTTGGGCAATCCAGGACCCTCGGCAGGGGGGGGGAGTATTCAGAGATGGGGAGGGCAGGCTAATAGCACTGTACTTTGGCCCAATAGGTATAGGTGATTCTTTAAGAGCTGAAATTATGGCCTTACTCCAAGGACTGAGACTGGCCAAGCAATGGGGTTTCCAAAACTTTGAAGTGGAGGGAGATTCTAAGCTGTTAATAGGATGGCTGCAGACAAAAAGTCTGGGGGCATGGACTCTGAGACAGCAAATGAGGGAGATTTATTGTTTAGCAAGGGAAACTGGAGTAATCTTTACTTGGGCAAGGAGGTCAGCCAACAGTGTGGCTGATACTTTGGCAAAACAGGGAACTCAAGAGGGAAAATCTTTTTTGGGCTGTACTGTAAACTTTGGGATAAAATATGGGGTCAACACTCATGCCGTGAGTGATTGGCAATGTACTACTCCTTTACTAATGCAATGAAAGTTACTGTTTCCAATAAAAAAAAGAGGAGGATGATGATACACCCTGTTTACTGTCTACCGGCACCACAACCTTTTGGGCTTCGAAAACTTTAGGCCCAATAGAGGTCTGCTCACTTGAAAGGTTGACTGGGCTGTCCATCTAACCGGGCCCACATGACTTTTAATATTGTCACGTGAGTCCTTTTTAGTACTAAGACTGTGGCCCAACCTTTATTGGCCTAAAAACCCATTACCTGGCCCATCTAGTGATTTGTTTGGGCCCACCTTTATTTTGGCCTTCTTTTGTTCATCATCTTCCCTTCTAATAAAATGTTAATTTGCTATCAATAAAAAGGTTAGTGCTTGTATTTATTTGTGTTCCAGCTTATTTTCTTCCCAATTTCTTTGTGAAAAAGAAAATAAATAGGAGCTTGTTTGTGTATGCCGATATTTGAAGCGATGAGTAATGAAAACTCTGGTTTTATCAAGACATGGTTTAGTGTTTTCAATGGTATATTAACTATAAAGTTAATTGTGGATGTGAATGGTCTTCCGGATACAAATTTTCTTGCTAGCTAGTTTCTTTTTTACATTCTCATGCATCTCTACATTTTGTGTATAATATTATTTTAATAAATGCAATCTCCATTTTTTTTTTTGAAAAGGTAAGGTAAATTTATTAGACAAAACTTTGAGAGTACAAACAGAAACCTGCCAAATTGACTGATTTGGGGGCCTGGGGACCCCCATTACAAACACCAAATTGACTGATTTCTCAATAACTGAGCTACATTTACATGTTTGAATTCTGGGGTAAGTGAAATCCAGGATATCAGTTTACTAACAGCCATCTGTACTAATTCCTTAGGCCTTCTCACTTTAAAAATGCAATCTCCATTTTTATAAGTATTTACCTTCACATTTTTATCATGTTGAGGAAAGTTGAGTTACAATCTATTTATTTATTTTGTTTTGTGTAGGATATGAGTAGTTTAGTTGAGAGACTCCGAATTCGGTCAGATAGAAAGCCTTTGTATGATGTAGATGAATCAGATGATGAAGCTGATCTTGTACATCGAAAATCTGGGGCTACACAGGAAAAGCTTGAAAGGATAATCCGGAGTGATGCTGTATGTTCTCTTGCTGCATTATTTTATACTTTCAGGGTTATGCATGCAATGCTTACTGCAACAATATTACTTCTGAACCCTTGTAGATCCAATCTCCTTGGTTTATATTCTTTTGATGGGTCTGTAATGCTTGTTTATACCTAGTATACTCTCTGTTTTTTTCCTTCTTTTTAATGTATTTTACTTTATTATGAAAAATTCTTGATTATTGTGAATCATATAGGAACCTACTCATAGAGTACCTCTCTTAGAGTTCTTGAAGGTAGTATTGATGTGGGAATGTGGGAGCTATGCTTCTCATGGAATGGAGAGATATTGATGAAGCAGTGAGAATAGATTGTAAAGATTATAAGCAGGGTTCGTAGCACTTGCACAGTTGCACTGCAGGCACTATCCATCCATTTTTTGTTTCTAATATACTTCACCTTTTTAGGAAATAGAGGTCATTACCAAAGTTTAGAATGTCGGTGTCAGTGGAAATGTGGTTATCCAAAAATGAGAAACATGTTGGAAATGTCAGGAATGTCATATGGAAATATTGTTAAAATTATAGACATGGTGAAATTGTGAAACATGCAGAAAAATAAACTGATGTTTAGACCATTCGCTTGTCCAAAACCATCAAATAAAAGCAAGAAATTAAGGTTGATACACAAAATAACAAGCCACAAGTTGTTCTGTAAACTAACCTATCAAAAAAAGTTGTTCTGTGGACTTTAGGATTTAAAACTATGTACTAGGGTAATTTCAAGCAGAACTTAAACTCATGAAAAATGCAAAAGATTCTCATAGATAAACCAAATAATCTTTTAACAAATAAGAAATTAGGATTTTATGATACAACAAAAAAAGAATTTTGAGTTGGCTAAAAGTGATAATCATCTTCATTGAATGGGCAATTATACTGCTGCTCCACATATTTGCCATATGCTTCCAAGTTCCAATTCATCATGTTATAATACCATCTCGTGCACTAGTAGTTTTCATTGGGGTGTACGCCAATTCCAGTAATATTTTGTGTTAATGGAAATATTTGTTGAAATAGCGGGAAATATGTTTGCAATTTAAACCAAATAATCTATTACACAAACAAAAACTAAGATTTTAATGTACATCCAAAAGGAATTTTGAGTTGGGTAAAAGTGGTCATCATCTTCATTAAATGGGCAATGATACATTAACACTGCTGCTCCACATTTTTGCAATGTGATGCCAACTCATCATGTTATTAATACCATCTTGTGCAGTCCCTGTGCTAGTAGTTTTCTCTGGGAAATGTGAACATTTTGAACCATGGTCATCACTTGATGTTGATCCCAACTATCTGGGGTCTTGGGAGGTTGGACTGGATACAAACCTAACCACTGGCATTGTTTTTTTTTTTTTTCTTTTTCTCACAAAGTGGCCGCTCTCACACTATAACCTTTTTTTCTCATCATTGTCAGCCTATTAATGTGCTTGGTGACAGTACCCGAGGGCTTGAAGCTTGATGAACTTAGTTTTATATGATTTAGCTGTATCTTGCAATTTGAACCTTTGTTTCAGATGATTTTTTCTACCGTTTTACCCAGCTTCTAGAGATCTACACTTATGTTATCTTTATATATAATTTTCTTTCATGTTTTGCAGAAAGATGATGCATGTCAAGCATGTGGGGAAAAAGGGAATCTTCTAAATTGTGAGACATGCACTTATGCTTACCATCCCAAGTGTTTACTCCCACCGCTAAAAGCTCCTCTCCCCAACAGCTGGAGTTGCCCAGAATGTGTATGAAACTAGGATTTTATTAGATCAATTTTGGATTTGATTGAGCTTGGTTCATGATATTGAAAATCAGAAATTTTGGTTGCTGCAGGTGAGCCCCCTGAATGACATTGACAAGATATTGGACTGTGAAATGAGACCTACTGTAGCTGGTGATAGTGATGCCTCAAAACTTGGCTCAAAGCAAATATTTGTTAAACAGTACCTTGTGAAATGGAAGGGACTATCTTATTTGCACTGCACATGGTAGCCCTAGTCTTAACATATCTCTATGGTTATTTTACATAAATGAACCATGCTTGCTTGATCATTACTGGTTTAATGAAGTTTCTTTTTGCAACTTCACTTATCCCACAATGTTTTTCTTTTATGAGAAAATTGTTTTTCTCATGAATCTGTACAACTTTTGGTTTCTTACTGCAGCCAATGGTTAAAGGTTTTTCTTTTTCTTTTTTCCATTTTCTCTTGCATTGCAAATCCTGCCCAAAGTTCTATAATGTTTCCATTTATAAATAGTTTACTATGGCTTACTGATATAGCACTTACTGTTTTCCTTAGGGTGCCGGAGAAGGAGTTTCATAAAGCTTTCAAAGCACATCCTCGCCTGAGGACTAAAGTAAATAACTTCCATCGTCAAATGGCATCAGTTAATAACTCTGAAGATGACTTTGTTGCAATTCGACCTGAATGGACAACTGTTGACCGCATCCTCGCTTGCAGGTTTGATCATATCTCTGTTTCTGTGCTCTATCTGATGGTAAAAGTTAAGACTTGTGGCCATTAATTGAAGCAATAAAAGCACAGTTTGTTTCCACTTTACTATTTGCATTTCCAAGTTCACTATTTCTTCTCAATAAAAAAAAAGTGGAATATGGACCATCTCCTATTTTCATAATAACCCGTCATTTATTTGTCCTTGTTTTTACATCTTGCAATTAAAAAAATCACTATTCTCTAATTTGAGTTCTACTATAATTTTTCTTATTTGATCAGCATCAAATACATCTTTGACTAGTTTATCAGCATCAAATACATTTTGGTTATTTTATCAAAGCTCTCCAAATTATAAATAGTGAAAGAGGGCTTTATAGCTAATTGGTTTTTCTGTTCACAAATCATGATGTTCCTTCTCTTTTCATTTCTATTCTTCCATCCAAAGAAAAAATTTCTATTTAAACTTGATCAAATCAATCTACAAATATTAGTTGGTATCGGAGAAGATGTCTCTAGTTTATTTCTTTCTTAATTCTCAAGTTGAACCCTTTACAGGTGTAGGGATACTCCACAAATATGGGCAAAATTTTTACCCATCCCACTTCCCACTACCCTCGGTTTTTTAAAAGCTTTGATAAAACTGTCAGTTAACCCATCACAAAAGAATGAGAAACATGTATAATATTCTATATGATAAAGAAGATAGTGGAAGGAAAGAAATGAGGAGAAGAGGTAAATAAATCAATAAAGAAGGGAGTCTAACAAAATTAAGAACAAAAATCTTAGGTTGGATTGTAAGAAGATTAGGGAGCGCAGGAAAGTGGACCATAAAAGATGCCCTAGGAAAGGGGAGATCAATGTTGTACTTTTACAGGAATCCAAGCTGATGGAAGTGATGTGCATTGGGTTAGGTGTATCTGGTCATTGAGAAGCATTAGATGGGTAATAGTTCCCTTTTGTGGAGCATTAGGAGGAATAATTATGCTTCGGGGTTCTGAAGTGGTTGATATTGGAGAGGAATAATTGGAAGATTCATGGTTTTTGTAAAGTTTAGGTGTTTACTAGCTGGGTTTGAAGGGTGGTGACCAACATATATGGACAAAACGAGTTCTAGGGATAGTTATTCTATGTTAGAGGATTGTGGGAGGGTCTTGATGTTTAGGTAGGAACTTCAAATGTTTATGATTGACTCATGACACAAATAACCTACACCTGTCCAGAACCACTAGTTTGAGGAACTTCAACTGCTTTATCAATGAGTGTGATGTAAGAGAACTGTTCTTGTTACAAACCTCCTTTATGTGGTCCAACTTTTAGATGAATCCTATTTACTTTAAATTAGTCAAATTCCTATTCTCAATGGATTGGGAAGAACATTGGATGGGATTATATTGTCAAACACTCCCTAGGTCTACTTCAAATCATTGTCCCATTTTGCTTTCTCAGCAATCTCTTCGTGGTGGACCCTCCCCCTTAAATCATGGGTGACCCATTCAGCATTTCGATGTAATGTCAACGCTTGGTGGGGGGAGGATTGTAATTATAGATGAAGAGATTCAAATTTTGGAAGAAATTGCAAAGATTAAAATGAAAGCTAAAAGCTTGGATTAAGGAAGTTTTTGTCATCGTTTAGGAAAAGAAAATCGTATTTTATCCCAAATTGAGATGCTAGATATATAGCAAAGGAGAGAGCTGGCGTCTGTTTGAATGGTATAGGAAAAGGTGGAAACCAAAGAATGAGTTGGATGAAATCTTAAAGGGGGAAAAATAAGTTGGAGACAAAATTTAGATATGAGTGGACCAAAGGAGATGGTAATTCAATTTTTTTTTTATTCTATGGCTAATAGAAAAAAAAGGAAACAAAATTGGATAGTAAGATTGTACTCTGAATGGAAATATCATTTTATGGCAAAATGATTCTAAACAAATCATAACACTGAAGCTTAATGGTATCTGTGCAGAAGCATCAAAACTCTGCAGTTATTGTTTCTGTCATTTTTGCCTTTTTGATGTACTCATTGTATACTATGTTACCGTGATATCACTACACGGGATATATTTTGTTCTTTTTGTCTAACCAAACTCCCTTTTTTGAAAACTGATGGTTGTGGTAGTATAAACTGAGTTTTTGCAGGGGAAAAGCTAATGAGAGAGAGTATTATGTAAAGTGGAAAGAGCTTCCTTATGATGAATGTTACTGGGAGCTTGAATCAGATATCTCTGCATTTCAACCTGAAATTGAAAGGTTTCATAAAATTCAGTCCAGATCTCACCGCCCATCTTCAAGTAAGCAGAAGAGCACTCTCCGTGATATAAAAGAATCAAAAAAGAAGCAGAAAGAATTTCAACAGTATGAACACAGCCCTAACTTCCTTTCTGGAGGTATGCCCTCTATTAGGCTTGAACTTTGTTTGGAAGACATTCCATTGTGTTCCATATTTGGATATCCTTCTTTGACTTTTTTTTTTTTTTGCTTCTCTTAACTTATACTTGATTATTGTGATCTTTTATATTGATACTTGATTATGTTCGATTTCACTGAAGGCTCATTACATCCATATCAGCTGGAGGGACTGAATTTCTTACGCTTTTCTTGGTCTAAACAAACACATGTTATCCTTGCTGATGAAATGGGTCTTGGTGAGTTTCTATTTGTATATTAGAGGGTTCTTGTTGAGGGCTATGATGACCAGAAGGTCTAATGGCTGAGACTTACTGTTGCAGGAAAAACTATACAGAGTATAGCATTTCTAGCATCTCTTTGGGAGGAGAGTCTTTATCCTCATTTAGTAGTGGCTCCTCTTTCAACTTTGCGTAACTGGGAACGTGAATTTGCAACATGGGCACCCCAAATGAATGTTGTATGTACATGGAACTTGAATTGTAGTGTTGCTTTTCCTGTTTTCTGTTTTATATAGATATGATTATAAATTAAAATGAACTTATTTCAGGTAATGTATTTTGGGTCTGCTCAAGCTCGTGCTGTTATTAGGGAATATGAATTTTACTATCCAAAAGGCGAATTCAAGAAGCACAAGAAAAAAAAGGCCAACCAAGTTGTCACTGATAGCAAGCAAGAAAGGATAAAATTTGACGTCCTTTTAACATCTTATGAAATGATTAACCTAGATACTGTCTCTTTGAAACCAATAAAGTGGGAGTGTATGGTAACAACATGTAACTGATTCTGTACATTCCCTGATCCTAGTTTGTATATTGCTACTTATTACTTGGATATCTTTGTGCAGATTGTTGATGAGGGCCATCGCCTTAAGAATAAAGATTCAAAACTGTTTCTGTCCTTGAAGCAATATTCGAGTAGACATCGTATACTTTTAACTGGCACTCCTCTTCAGGTTGGGTCTTCTTAATATTGTATCATAAAAACTGTTCTGTGAAATTATTGTTGCCATAATTCATAAAAATATTATTGTTGCCATAAAGTCATATTGTCTTTTGTTTTCCATTGATCAGAACACATGATAAATACCTGACTAACAAATGAGCGTAAAGTGGAAGTATTCTATATATGAAAGTGATTATTTGCCAACTTACCAAGATATTACTGACATAATTCTAGCATTTAGGTGATTACAGTCATTGCCATTTTTTTTCCCATTACAACTGTGAAAGAGGATGTTATCTTTTGAAGGGCTCAATATATAAGTGCAGAGAAGCTGGCTTGATCTGCTACTCATGCCCCGGACCATTTACAGGCTTCTTACCTTGTAGCCCCCAAGGCAAGAAAGAGATTTTATTCTGAACTTTGACGGGAGTTTTAGATGTCCCTGCAGCTGCAGGAATTGGGGGCCTTTTGAGAAGGCTCATTGGCAATCTGGTTTGGTTTGGATTAGGACTTTCTGGGGTATTAGGGGCTTGAGTTGGTCTTACGTTCCATTTTGGGGTGCATTTGGAGGAATTCTTACGGTTTGGAAGAATAAAGAATTGGGATGCCTAGAGTTAGGGGTGTAAATGGTATCCGAGTATCTGATTTCGAATTCCATATCCAGCATAAATGAATCGAATTTGGATACTTTGATTGATTTAATGGTTGAATTTGAATTAAATTTTAACACCGATTAATTTATTGAACCGAATTCAAATCTATGCTGATGCAATTCGATAAATATTCAAATTCGATTGAATATAAATATAATATATAGTAATATAAAATATATACGTACAATGTATATAGGGTTACATGTCTTATATTCTAATACTCTTACACCTTTTAGAAAAAGTTACTTATTTAACATAATAGACAAAAAACAATTGATGACAATAATGTTCACTTGACTTTAACTCTTTTATTAAGACCATTACTCCTTAACTCCTCCTCTCCGCTTCGTCTCCCTTGTTTTCCCTTCCCTCCCTCTCTGTGTTTCTTCTCCCCATATCCTACCTGCAACTCTTGTTTTTGCTCCCTCTTTTTATCTCTTCTCTATTTCTCCCTTGTATTCTAACCCATTAACCCCTCTATCTCCCCCATTTTTCCTCTCGCATTTTATCTTTCTTCCCTATATTCTAACATGCAACTTTGCAACTCATCTTTCATGGCAAATGTTAGTGTCGAGTATGTAGGGGTGTCTTTGTGCTTGTGTTTAGGTGCTGATGTGTAAGTTTATGTTAGATTTAATGTCCTTAACTTAAGTAGGGGCATATGTGACTTTTCCACATTATTTTAGTAATATAAAATACATCTAGCCGAATAGGAGAGAGAACTTTTTCTCTCATTCGAACCAGAATCTTTTCTCCTTGTTTCTCTTCTACCCTTCTCCTTTCTCTCTTTCTCTCCTCTCTTCTCTCTTCTCTCTCTCTTCCTTGACTGTTATTAGTCTAATAGGCAGACCCGAACACTAACATGGTATTAGAACCAAACTTAGCAAATCGAATCTGCCCAGAATTCTGTTATTTGCGCACCCAGCCTAGGGTTTTCTCTTGTTTTCTTCACCATCAGCTAGAGATAAGGGAAAGGACTGAAAAGGAGTGATCACTCTCTTCCCTTGGAGGTTTCTATGCCTCCAGTTGTGGTGTTTGTGGTCGGTTGCTGCAGTTTCTAAGAAGCCCTCCCCTAATCGATGAAGAGAAGAGGGCTGATTCGTGTGGTGCAGTGGGTGTCTTGTGTGGTCTGATTTTTGGTGATCAGGTAAGAGGTTTTATGCATTTTTTTGGTGTGAATTATATGAGAAGTCTATTTCAGACTGTATGGTGGGATTTCAGATTGTAGTGTGCTAGGGTTTGTGCACCCTTCAGTGTGATTCAAAGGGGGGGTATTCCTCAAACAGTGTTGTGAAGTTTCAGGTAGTCGTGGAGTTGGGTTTGTGGTGTAAAGAGTGCAATTTGCAGCAGTAGTACGTGCTGAAATCAGTGTGTAGTGTGATCTAGTGTGCAGTTTGCCGAATTCAGCAATGGGAGACAACAATGATAGCAAGACTAGTGTGATGGTCCCTACTGACCACCTGAATGTTCAAATGACCTCCATTAAGCTGAATGGAGAAAATTATGTACCTTGGGCCAAATCTGTAGAAGTCTTTCGTAAGGCAAAGAAGAAGGTGAAGCACATAAGGGATGAAAAACCTTCCACCGATTCTCCCGAGTATGATGATTGGGAGCAGGTAGATGCACAAATCATCACATGGTTATGGAATAGTATGGAATCCATGATTAGTGTAAATTTCATGTTCCTTCATACTACCAAAGAAGTGTGGGACCATGCTAAGAAGCTGTATTCGGGTCAAGACAACACAACCAGAGTATATCAGTTGTACCAAGAATACTTTAATCTACAACAGGGTAATCAGAGTCTTGAGGAGTACTATGCTAGTATGAGAAACATTCGTAATGAATTGAATGTTTATCACCCCCTCACTTCTGATGTCAAAATTCAGCAACAACTTGATGTGACTCGGTTTTTGGTGGGGCTGAAATCTGAATATGAACCAGTGCGGGCTCAGATACTAGGAGGGTCAGCTATCCCTTCCTTAGAAGAGGTGTTTCGACTTAGGAGGATTTCCATTGGATCTACCGAGAACCCTAATATTTCTGATAGATCAGCCCTAGCAGTATCTAGAGGCCGTGGTGTTAGAGGTGGAGCTTGGGGAGCTCAATCTGGCCATAGTGGTAGTAGTGGACGGCATATGACCGGAGTGGTGGTAGTGGACCTACTTATAACTGTGGTGGTGGTCGTACTGGAGGTCGAGATTCAGGGGGAGCCCGTGGTAGAGGACGTAGTTCGGGTCCAAGGAGGTGTATACATTGTGGTATGGATGGACATACCTTCAATTATTGTTATGACTTGCATGGTCCATCTTCAATTTGGGCCAACCATGCCATGATCAGTGATAATAGCTTTAAACAGGAGAGCCATTTAGATGATCAGGTACCTCCATCCACAGATGTTACTGGGAAGGAGATGACGAGTATTCCCCGTGATGAGTATGAGAGGTTAGTACAGGCCACATCTCATCAGAACACAACCACTCTTGCACACTCGGGTATGGCTTGTATGGCATCCACACCCCATCCTTGGATTATTGATTCTGGAGCCTCCGATCACATGACTGGAACTCCAAGTGTGTTTTCTTCCCTCTTTCCTTGCCCAACATCACAATCTATTACCCTTGCTAATGGTTTCACATCCTCCATTTGTGGTGTTGGTAATGTTGACCTGGACCCTGTATCCCTATACTCAGTTTTGTATGCTTCTAAATTTCCTTTTAATCTTATGTCTGTTAGTAAGTTGACCAAGTCTCTTAATTGCTCCATTACCTTTTGCCCCTCTTCGTGTGTTTTTTAGGATTTCAAGACGGGGATGAAGATTGGTGGAGGGCATGAAGCTGGTGGATTGTATTATCTTGATGGCGGTGGAAGTACGTCAACAGTTCTCCAATCGTCCCTCTCTCCTCTCCAGTGGCATTGTTGATTTGGTCATCCTTCATTGAAAGTTTTGAAGTCTTTGGTTCTTTCATTGAGTCATCTTTCTGTTTTTGATTGTGAGTCGTGTTAGTTGGGGAAACATCATCATGTTCCCTTTAGTCCTAGAGTTGATAATTGTGTATTGAGTCCTTTTTCTTTGGTTCATTCACATGTTTGGGGTCCTTATAAAGTGATGTCATATAATGGATATAAATATTTTGTCATTTTTGTTGATGATTATTCAAGGATGATGTGGTTTTATTTAATGAAAGAAAGAAGTGAATTGTTTACCATTTTCCAAAAGTTTTATGCTTAGATTTGCAACGAATTTGGTGTTCACATTAAAATTTTTCTTTATCATAATGGCCGTGAATATCTCTCTTCATCATTTCAAGACTACCTAAACCAACATGGCATTATACATCAGACTTCATGTACCTACACCCCACAATAAAACGGGGTGGCTGAGAGAAAGAAACGTCACTTCTTGGAAACAACTCGGCTCCTCATGCATCACATAAATGTTCCCAAATCCTTTTGGAGTGATGCAGTGCTTACTTCCTGCTTCTTGGTTAATCGGATGCCCACGTCTATCCTTGATGGTCATTCTCCATTCACCATATTGTTTCCTACCTTGTTTCCATTTATTCTCTCTCCTCGAGTTTTTGGATGCGTTTGTTTTGTTCGTAATTTGGGGCCAAGAATGGACAAGTTAGATGCACGGTCTATTAAGTGCATCTTCCTTGGCTATTCCCGGACTCAAAAAGGGTATAAGTGTTATCACCCTAGCTCACGGCGTTCCTTTGTATGTGCTGATGTTACTTTCTTTGAGTCTACTCCATTCTTCTTGGGGTCCGGTGTTGTTTTTTCCTCCTCATTACCTCCTCCTCTTCCTCTTCCAGTTGTGGACTTTGTTTCCCTTGTCCTCGGAGTGACCAAGTCTTTGCCTCCGGTGCCACCACCTGTTGAACAACCATCGATCCATCACGTGTATACACATTGCCCACATGTTCCGACACCTCCTCCAGCTTCATCATTGTTGACAGATTTGGTAGCTATTACCACACCAGCCCTGATCCCAGTATTTGATCTTGATCTTCCCATTGCCTTGCGGAAGGTAAGCGCAGTTATACCCTTCATCGTATTTTCTAATTACGTTTCATTGACTCACCTTTCCACTTCCTATCGCTAGTTTATCTCTTTGTTATCCTTTGTTGTTATACCTAAACATGTCCAGGAAGCCCTTGCCTCTCCAGGATGGTGCCGTGCAATGGAAGTAGAACTCTCAGCTCTAGCTCATAATCGTACATGGGAACTCACCACTCTTCCTCCTGATAGGCTGTTGGTTGTAAGTGGGTTTATACGAATAAGTCTTTACCTAATGGTAGTGTAGAGCGGCTGAAAGCTAGATTGGTTGCCAAAGGGTATTCCCAAACCTATA